ATCGTCAGAAGATGACTGAATAGCAATTTCACCAGCATTGAGTGACTCATATGAGACTGGTTCACTAAATGTCAGTGTTAGTACTGCAGTATTTAGGTCAAGAGTGTAATCTTCAAGTATAGGACGATCAGTATCCAGCGTGAACAGAGTTGCTGGATTATCCCCTGTATCTGTATTGACCAAGTTCCCAGCAAAGTCAGTAATTACTGAGCCCGACAAGAATCTTACGTAGCAGTTGTATCGCCTTGAACACACAGTTCCGTCCAGTTTGATGTCATCGACTTCCTGCTTTGTTAAATTGATCTGGATTTTAGTAAAGAACTCATCAATTCCTTCAGCAGTTGCATCAGTAAGCGAAACCGAACTGAATGGCACAGTATACAGAGTCTGTAACTGAATTCCTTGTGCATCAAAGTTGCTTGTATTCACAGGCTCATTAAACTCAATAATTATAAAACCATCCCTGAGGTTGAACTCTTCAAACTCAACAAAATCTGGTCGATTGTTATCAGGTGTAAAGGCAGTGGCCATGAATGTACTGAGATCATTAGGAAGTGAGACATAGTCGGTCACTGTTCCTTCTTCCAATGAGATAAAACAGTTTTCACTACTACTGCAACTCTCTGAGAGAATGATGGTAAAATATTCAGTGTTAACCAAGTTGATTTGAACCTGGTTGCTATTACTCCCAGTTATAAACACGTTGCTGGTGGAAATTGGAAGAACATTACTTCCCAGCGAGTCTGAAGATAGGTTGATGTAGCCAGTCGGTGGAGATTGTACCGTCTGAATAGCTTCATTGAATGTGAGGTACATTCTAGCTGCATCGAGGTCCATGTGGAATGCAGTGATGGAAGGTGGTGTCATGTCCTCAGTGAAGGTTCGGACAGGCAGAGAATCTATGTTGGGGATTCGGACCAGTCTATTGCCGCCCATGTCAGCAATGGCAAAGTTGAGGATGACAAGAAAAGTGGTATCATTGCTAACAGCGAGGTTTGTCTGCCTCTGGAGGTAAAACAAGTCTCCACTAGGAAGTGGAATGGTAACAACTGGTCCGTCTGAACCATTTCTGGGCAACTGATCTACAGCAATATCTGTCAGTCTACGTATGGCTGACGGATTGGATTTGTCGTTCTGAATTTCAACTTGGTCCAGATTGAGTGTGGACACATCTACTGCTTCGTCAAACTCAAGCGTAAGAGTGCCATCGTCCATGTCAAGATCAAAGTACAGCAGATTGGCTAGTGTTGTATCAGGAATAAAACGTGATGCTTGTTCTGCATCATTGGATGCAACTTGGAAGGCCAAATTCTCTGCACTATCTGCAACAATGCCACTGGTGAACGATACAAAGGTATCTGTAGTTGAAGTGCCAATAGCGGTGTTTACTTTTATGTCGTTCAGGTCATCGTCCGAAATTTGAATAACGACAACAGGGCCTTCTCTTGAAACTGTCACACTGCTATTCACTAGAGTCTGGTTAACAGAAGCATCATTCCTCCTATTCTGGAGGAGCAACAGTGAGAGATTGAAAGTGCTAGGAATGACATTCTCATCAAAGGTGAGTGACAGTGTGCCATCATTCATATCGAGCACAAAGGAATCCAGTGTAGGTGGTATCAAGTCTGCAGTAATATTCCTTGCTTGCTTGGCATCTGCATCAAGAACTTCCAGTGAGCCAAAGCCTACCATGTCAGTTCCTGCATTAGAAACAGCGCTTATGTAGGGCAAATTCAGTAGTTGTTCCTAAAGGATAGAGGCTTTTGATAGTAGTTAGGTCACTTTCTGTGACCAAAATCTCAATTTCAGCTGAGTTTGTCTGGGTGACTGTGCCTCCAGTGAGCAGGTGACTGCTGGCTGATCCAGGTGCTTCAAGAAGCTTGAAGGCTGTGGGATCAACAGTAGAAGCATTGATTGTTTCTGAAAACACGACGACAAGGTACACATCTACCCCATCAGCTGCATTTCGAAGCTCGAATGTTTCGACAGTGGGAGTATTGGTGTCAACGGTGTACAGAGTGACTTGGATAGCCTCTCCATCATCCAGTGGTGTCAACTCATTGCCAAACGTCCCTCAGAGTTGCAGCCCCCAGAACAAGGTAAGTATCGTCAGCAGATGTGGCCAGGAATGTATTAGCCTTCAGAGCATTGAGATCATTATCTAAGATACTAACAGTAATGTTAGCTGAATCAGTTGTCTCTGCTACTGTACCACCTGTGAGTGTATACAGCTGATTAGCTGTCTGGTTGTCTTGGATGGTAATGTATTGTCCATCAAATATCAAAGGATTGACTGGCTCAAGGAATCTGAGAGTGAGCAAACCGGTGTTCATGTCCAGGTCAAATGAGTCAACCAGTGGTCCAGTCATGTCTTCTATCACCAGTGATGCCTGGAGAGCATCAGGCCTGGCAACAATAACATTGCCTGCAACATCACGCACAGAGTCGTAGAGAAAGTGCAGGTATGTGTTGCTGGTATCCACTCCAATTCCATCATTGTTCTTGACATCAAGGGCGACACTGACAGTGATTGACACAGATATCTCATTACCGTCAGATGATACCGGTTCTCCTGTCAAGGAGATGCTTATGCCACTGACAATGCTAGCAGTCGAGTACAGGGTGAATTGCGGGAACTGGAGAGTACTCACATTTACAGGTTCATCAAATGTCAATTCAAGGGTGTCGCTATTCAGGTCAAGAATAAATCGGTCTAGTTCAGGTGGTGTTTCATCAACAATAATACCCGAAGCTTCTACTGGATCTCCTATCACGGCAACGTTTCCAGCCATATCCGCAGCCACATTTTCTAATGCTCTCATAAAAGTCGAGCCAGCAGTGCCAATATCAGCATTCAACTTGATCTTGTTGACATCGCTTGCGGTGAGAGTGAGAGTGAAGGTTCCACTATTTACCTGAGGAGAGACTGTTGCCGCTGATATTTGAATGACGGTGGCCGTCCCATCTGTAGCAGCACTATTTTGCAGTTGAAGCAAGTTGACTTTAAAGGTGGTGAAATTCACAGCTTCGTCAAAAGTTACAATTATTTCCCCTACATTCAAATCCAAGACAAAGCTCGCAAGCTCTGGTTCTCTTGTATCAGGTGTGAATGTCCTTACTTGTATGGCAGAGAATGTATCGTTCACGAATGTAGCGTCAATAGCATTGCTTGCTGTGTCATTTAAAGCTCCTTCAAGCAACTGAAGATACACGTCATTAGCAGCTGCTGTGGTTGCAATGTTGGTGTTGATCTTGATGGCATTCAGGTCTGCCGTACTTGGTGTAAGGGTGATCACAGATAAATTGCTGCTGGCTATCAGTGACCCATCACTTAGGGCTACATACTCTGAACCATTGGTCTGACTCTCTTGTACAAGAAAGCGCTCAAACACGAAAGAGGTAATGTCAACGGGCTCATTAAATGTCAGTACTATTTCACCAGCATCCAGGTCAAAGTCGTATGACTCAAGTGTGGGGGCCGTTGCGTCAGGGACAAAAGTGGAGGCTTGGATCGCATGGTCATTGGTTACGGCGATGATATCTACTCCACGCAAATCATTGAACGTATCAGCTTGAATTGTGATAAACGAATCCTCAATACTTGCGGCCAGGTCTAGGGTTGCCTTTAGAGCTACAACATCACTTGAATGAAGCATAATAGTGACAACTGTACCATCTGCACTTGCCCCACCAACAATATCACTGTTTTCATATTGATATTCCAAATCATATGGGATCTCATCGCTCAAAGCACGTTGAATTGAAACGGCACGGCGCAGTCTTTGTGAGCTCACGTCAACAACATCATTGAACGTCAAGCTTAAGAGCTCATTCTGCATGTCCAGACCAAAATCAATGAGTGTGGCTGCAGTCCGATCTGCAACTACAGTACCCGAAAATGCCGCTTTTGCATTGTTATTAACATTTGACGTATCTTGCACTGCATTTGCTACTACAGACATGAAAGTATTGGCTTCATTGACCCCTATCTGAGGGTCGGTTTTGATAGCCGTCAGCGTTTCACCATCAAGGTCGAACATAACTATAGCTGTCAAAGATTCTGTCCCTTCTGCAAAGGTGATGTTACTGAGTGTTATGTCAGTACTGGGACTTGCGCTGCTGTTAGTTAACAAAAACCCTGTGGTATCAAGGGTACTATTTTGAACTGGCTCAGAAAATGTGAGAATAAGTTGATTGCTATCAAGATCCAAGGTAAATGATGAAAGATCAGGCGGAGTAGTGTCATTAATGAAGGTTCTAACTCTCTTGGCACCACTACTTGATACAGCTGTCACATCGTTTCCAAACAGGTCCTGGATGGCATTCTCTCTGAGATAAATGTATGTGTTGGTCACATCAGAGGCAAATGATGCTATTTTCAACCTGTCTGCATCTCTATTCAGAGATATAACTATAGTAGTATCATCAGTAGTTTGGGGCACACTTGCAGATGAGAGTCGTATACTCTCCCCTCCACTTTGCATGGCTTGGAAATATACCTCAGTAGCTTCGAAGGTGTCGACACTCACCGGTTCATCAAACACTAGTGTTAGCTCATCCAGGGAAAGATCTAGGTCAAAGTCTTGCAGTACAGGACGAGTTGTGTCTGGAGTAAACACAGATAGCAGGAAATTGGCTTGGTCAACTGGATCATATCCCCTTATAGGGTTGCCAACAATGTCTCTCACAAAGCTTGCGTTGAATTTCGGAACACAATTTGTTGCACCTGTGCACAAATCCGGCAGCAGCTTGATTGCATTCAAATCGCTCTGCGTCAGTTGAATAGTGATGAAATCACTATTTGTGCAGGGGACAGTACTGTTGCCACATATAGTGCCCTCACTAAGCATGAAACTGGGCAGAGAAGGATCTGGAAAATCACTCTCCAACTTTAACTCCCCGAATACAAATGTTTCAGCATCAACTGGCTCTGTGAAGGATAATGCAAGGCTTCCTCTGTTAAGATCAAAATGGGTAAAGCTCAGTAGCTGAGGAGGTTCGTCATCACTGTCGACCATACTAACATTCATCCCTGTCATATCGGGATCCAACTCATTACCAGTATCATTTATACCATTTCCACTCTCTATAAAGAGCACTGTGTCAGTTGAAGTTGTCCCGAAATTATCATCTGTTTCTATTGCTATCTTCAGATCAGTTCCAAGTGGACACGATACTGTTGCTGACATGCTAGTGACAGTGGCTGGATTGGATAGGGGCTGGGAATTAGAAAATCCCCCAACAGTACTCCCCAACCTAAGTTTAGTGCAGTCAACCATTAAATTCATATCAAGACTTGCAAATTCAAGCACTAGGACGTTGTCATCAAGATCCAGAGTGCTTGTCATTATTGTTGCTTGAGCACCTATCACAAGGCGATATTAGCATGATCTTGTGTAAGAATACAAATTTCCAGGAGAATCACAACTCTATAATATGCAGACACGTGACTGTGATATGAAACAGCACAGCACCATGAATAATAAAACATTATTCATGAAACTCTTGCACTAATCCACAGTACATTACAAATGTACCGTGGTCTTCCGTTAGTCAGTAAATAGCTTTGTATATGTAGCTTGGAAGATATTGAAAAATACCGTGCGGAGGGTTTTGGGGATCTAATGGGACAGCATTAGATCCGTCACATAGTATTAAGGCCTATCCATACCACTGCCTCTGGGCAGAATATGGCCCACCTCTTACACATGCCATTTGAGCGGAACAGATAAAGTAAACATGGGTGGATTAAACCTACAGAGTGAGACCTATACACATAGACGACATTGCATGACCACTTTCAAGCTACATAATCATGTTAAAACGGGGATCGGCCTGCTAAATTTGACTACTAGTTGAGAAGTCAGCATCAAATGAACATCCACAACAATTAAAACGATGCCTTCCAAAAAACTATGCAGCAGTCCTTATCAGTGGCATGTATTAAAAAAAAGAAGGAAATATTGGTCTTTTATGGTAGGGATACCGAGGAATCACAAACTTACCTATTGGGTGTTTGTGTTTCTGAAAGTGCGAGTGTGTTTTTAGCAAAATTATGGTAATATTGGTGAGTGAAGCAAGCCTACGTAGAATTCACAGTTTTCCATACTATGCTGATGAGGGCACTGTCAAACGTACTGCAATGTGTTACGTAAAATGAAAATCAATTTCGTAATCGTGGGCCGCACATGTGATCTCGCATTCGTAATTGAGTTTACAAAGTCAAGTTTCATTTTAAAGTGTGGTATAGTCCCTTACTTTCATATGCACCAGAGGGTTATGGCGCATGTGCCTCTGTGTACAGTTTGTACCTACAGATACTCTGAGTAGACTTCTCAATTGCAAACCACGATATAGTAATTATGTGAACTTCAACCTTAATGCGAAACTGTGTTGGCATTAGAGCTTGCTACAACGTGCAAACTAGCTCAGTGACTACTCCAGACATGCATATTCACACAATCACAAAAACTCCATCCTTTTCATGGAGTCTTTTTTAAGCACCACCGCAGTCGTAATAAAACATAGCAGGTATTAAAATGCAAGGCTCACAAATGACGAAGGACACATGCAGCATTAAATCCTAAAACTCTGTTGTCTTATTCAGCTTCTACCTTTAGTGAAGCACCTAGTATTCCAGACTACCAGTTTCTGTGGCACTTACTGCGTGAATTTGAGAAGACATTGCTAAAGCTTGCTGATTGCTTTATGTTGTGATAAGCATGGTTCATTACAAGCAGTTTACAAACACATTGCAACAATTAAGTTTTCCTCGAAGTTGGCATAGCTCCACTTTAGCAAATACACTGAGTACTTGTTGCACTTATTTGGACAACAATGTATTTGTATTTTGGACAGTTCTCCATAAGGGAAAGGACGAGACATACAAACCAGAACAGACATTGTAATACTAGCCTCGTTCCCAGGCTCTCCCTCTCCGTGCACAAATTAATATATGACCTTTGAACCCCCTGAAAAGCGGAGGGAGAGCCATATCTTAGCACGTGAGTGATGTCAGGGTAGACATGTTTTTGCACTGGGGTAGACACATTTTTCCATTCGAGCTTCAGTAGCATACGCAACAAGACGGTGAGCGAGTACAGCCCAGGACATGAGCCAGCCATGTCTTCGCACGTGAGTGATGTCAGGGTAGACATGTTTTTGCACTGGGGTAGACACATTTTTCCATTCGAGCTTCAGTAGCGTACGCAACAAGACGGTGAGCGAGTACAGCCCAGGACATGAGCCAGGCAGCCTTGCTTGTTCTTACAGAGGAACCAACTACGAGACAGCTAACCACAGTGAAGGTTACTTGGTTCGTACTGCTATTCACTACAAGCTACAACGAGCAATACCAACAGTCTCATTGCAAAACTCGATTTTACTGAAACCACCAACAAAAGACAATGCCTTACCTTGACCAGGTTTTGCCACAAGAAATTTCTTACATTTTAGCATTGGCCTAAGTGGCAACTATGCACTGCTGCAGTAGCCTGTGTTTGAGCGAGAAATTGACTCTGTCAGTAACCACTATGGCTCAGAGCGGTAATTTTCTTGTACTCTGCAATATTACGCTCTGCTAATGCGTGTGCAAGACGTTCTTTTGCGCTGAGGTGCGTGCTCATACATTGATATAATTATGAACTAGAGTTCCCAAACACAATTATGTCACAACACGAATCCATCACTAGCCTCTCAGTGTCCTATGTTTATCAGTAGCCATTTCAACTCACATGCAGTGTCCATGTGCGCAACTAGGAACATGGTGAGTAGTAAGAGAAACCCAGCGGCATCAGATGGCCCACTGCAGAAAGAGAAAGAGACATGAATGACTAGCTATCTACCCCCCAAATCCTACACGTATACAGACGCCACGCACGTGCATGCATATGCGCTATCGCGAATGAAAGGCGCGCTAAAGGAGAGACACCAGAAACTTACCTCGTAAGGCGAGAACGACGCGCCTTTACCATCTTTGTCGTAGCCACGTATTCCAACAAGGATCAGTAGACTACTGCCCCGACGCTAAGCAAAGCGGGGGCTTCAAAAGTAGCTGTGAAACCCAACAAACGATTTTTCGGAAGGGGTGGCAGCAACAACTTCGCAGTATCTTCTTACTTACAGCAGAGGCGGTAACGTAAGGTGGACTGTTTGGCTGTATCCATGGAAAAGGGGCGAAAACACCGCTTTCCCGCCCTCACCTCCGAATATTCATCGTCACCTTGTGGGGGCGTGGATGAAGGTTTGGAACTGAGTTGCGTAGCAATGCGAGCACAACACTGGGGCGTCATCTTCGCTTGAATTTTTTGAGTGGTGAGTGCTTCATTTTCCCGCAAGACAGACCGCTGAACCAAGTTGAAGTTTTCCCTGGTTGGGGTGGAGAAATGAGCCTGTAATTTTGTGGTAAGTGTTTGTAACTTAGCTATATAGTCTTTTGGTACTTATTACATACACTTTGGGGTTAGCGAAGCTAGCTATCTCTGGCTAGCTGTAAGCGCCAACTGACTACGCGCGGAATATAGCCAAAAAGCTACTTGCGCAGCTGAGTGCGCGGGAGCCCAGCCCTAGCTAGCTAGAGGGGTGGGGCTCGTTTTGCGACGTGAGCGCGCGCGGGGGGGTTGACGTACGTACGTACTGCTGCTAACTCGTGCTTTCACAGGTTGCTGTGACACAAACGACAATGGTCAAAAGCAGCATATGCATATCGTTGGTTCTAGTCCTGGGCCTCTGCAAACTTCCAGTGGCCAAGTCGCAGAGGGAAGGTCTCTCAGATGAGATAGTTGTGCAGTTTGGTGACATTGACCTGAATGCAATAAAGAGCTACAACATTTGCTCGAGTGACTCTAACGGCACCGACTGCTTTCTTAGCATATTACCGCAGACCATCTACGATGTAGTCGGGCTCTCCATTAACATGACCCAGTGTTTAGCCATCGAACAGTTTGAACCGGATAAGAACCCCCCGGAACTAATTCAGTTTGACATGTTTGATTTAAACACTGGGACTCTGTTTCTAAGCTTCAATGAGACCATTAGAACATCGTCAGCCAACTTCTCGGCGCTTACCCTGCAGTCTTTCTATGACAGTGCGGGGGGTGAAGAGGTCGTGCAATTGCAGCAAGGACGCATAGAGACAGAGGATGAGTTTTCCACATCCCTGACTCTTAGACTAGCAGATGATGACTTGTTTGAGCTACAACGCCTCTATCCGAGAATATGTACTACATCGGGTAACTGTTGGGTAAAGTTTACTTCCCAGCTCGTGCTCGATGTTGCAGGGAATCCCGTAGTTCCCGCCGTAGATGGCGTTTTCTCAGAATCACACAGCGCTGCCCGAATATTGCAGGATAGTAGTAATCCCGAGATTGTTAACTTTGCCATCAACCTCAATGCCGATCCAGCACGTGTAAATTTCACATTCAGTGAAATAGTAACTGTTAATACTTTCAACCCAGAGGCGATAACATTTACAAATGGGTCGGTCAACTACACGCTAACCGGTGGGGAAGTATTAACAACTGAAGATGCTGTCGTCAGTTTCACATTTCAGTTAGAATTCGAAGATACAATTGCCCTCAAGGCAATTGATGATTTCTTTACGGGTACTGAGAATAGCCTGCTGACATACAGAGCAGATGTGGTTGAGGATCCCTTTGGTGAGTTGGCACAGCCTCGCAATTTTTCCAATGCGCTATCAGCTGGAGACTTTACACAAGATAGTCTCCCTCCCTCCCTCTCTGGGTTTCGACTCATGGATTTGGACAACGACCTCATGCAACTGAGCTTTAGTGAGCCTGTTGATCGAAACACTCTAGACTTCCCACGTATTACACTACGCTCGGGACCCTCATCTCAGGTAAGCTCTGAAACCGTACAGCTAACGGGGGCCATAAGTGTGCGATATGTGACTGAAGTAGATGTCCACCGGAGAGTTATAGAGGTAGTGTTCAGTTACAGTGACATTAGAGCTATAAAAACCCAGCCACCTTTGGCCACCGATATAGACACCAGTTATATTGAGCTCCAGCCTGGTGCAATAGCTGACACTGCAGGCGTCGAAAGCTCGGCAACCGCCGTTGCATTACAAGCTCAAACCTACGTGACTGATAGCAGAGGGCCAAGGTTGCTCTCCTTTGTTCTTGATCTAACGCGAAACGCATTATCCCTCACGTTCGATGACATCATTGACATTGACACGGTTGATGTAGGGGAGATAACACTGCAGCCTGATCAAAATGGAGAGTCGTCAGAAATTTACACTCTTACCGATTCTGAGGTTGTTGGGTCAAGCCACTTCAACTTCACCATAAGCCTCTCGGAAACTGACACCAACGAAATCAATTCTCTTCCAAATCTGGCAACAGGACGAGGAAATACGTTCATCTCACTTACAGGAGCAGCACTAGATGGAATTAATGGGGTTGACGTCCTATCTATTGTGAGGTCCAACGCTCTTAATGCATCTGATTTTACCCCAGACACGATACCACCTAGCCTCGAAGAATTCTACATCGACTTTAATTCCGAGATGCTTACTCTGGTGTTTGACGAAACGGTAGATGTGTCGACATTTGATGCAACTCAATTTACACTGCAGAATTCTGCATCTAATCCAACTCGGAGTGTGACCCTTAGTGGAGGCATTGTCACAAGCATGAGATATGTGACTTCGTTTCAGGTTGAATTCTTGAGAAGTGATTTGAATATGATCAAGACTTACACTGACTTTGCTGTTGATAACACCTCTACTTACCTACTGCTGACAGACGCCACAATTCGCGATAGTAGGGGTAATCCCATTGTCCCAGTGGACGAGATGAATACAGAGTATGCTGCTAGGTACGAGGGTGATAGGACCCCTCCAGTCTTTATATCCTTCACTTTTGATCTAGATAGTGGTCAGCTTTCCATAACTTTCGATGAAACTATTAACGCAACATCATTTCAACCAAGCTTGGTTCAGTTTCAGGGGAATGCAGGTAGCCTGACTTCACACTACTTACTTACTGGAGGAAACTCCTCCCCTGACAACTCAAATATCATCACTGTTAATTTAACTACAGACGATTTGAATGCACTCAAACGAAATGTTGAAGTTGCTACATCAGTAAATCATACATTTCTGTCCCATCTCTTCTGAAGTGGTCAGGGACATGAACGATGTTGCTTTTGATAATCCCACAGCAGTTCAGGCTAGCTCAGTGGAAGAAGACGAAACTGCACCCGAGCTTGACTCTTTTAGGCTTGATCTAGATGAGGGAGAGCTGCATTTGACATTTTCAGAGACGGTTGACTCTACAACTCTTGTCATATCTCTGCTTACTTTAGTGTCAGGTAGGAATGCATCCAGTAATGAAGAGATGTACACCTTAATGGAGGGTGTATTTCCACTATATAGTCTATCTGACAGTCCCAATTCAACCGAAATTACTGTCACAATCGGGTCACTAGATCTCAATGAAATCAAGCGATTAACAAATTTGGGCTCAAACACTGAGAACACGTACATCACCATCACCAATGCAGCTGTGAAGGACATGAGTGGAAACTTGGTCGTGGATATTCCACCCGATGAAGCAAGGGTTGCAGATACAGTTGATCCAGATCAGACTCCACCAGAGCTTGTATCATTTTCTCTGGATATGAATGTCGATCGTCTTGTTCTCACTTTTGATGAGACCGTCAATGCAGCCTCTCTCAACATTAGCACCATTACTATCCTATCCAGTAATATGGTGTCCCCATCATCAATGTACACCCTGGAAGACAGCAGTGTTTTAGAGGTCAACAATGTGACATTGGAAGTATCGCTCGGAACAATGGATTCAAACCTTATCAAATACCGTACCGATCTAGCTGTCAGTGCAGAGAGTACCTTTATTCAGCTTGCCATTGGAGCAGTGGACGATATGAGCAACAATACATACACAAACAGCTCAGCTGTCTTACAGGCAGCAGAAAATTCCCTTATAGTTGATATCACTGAGCCTGAATTGGTGTCCTTTGATCTTGATGTTGACTCTTCAACACTGTCCCTGACCTTCTCTGAGGTAATCAACGGCTCAACCCTTATATTTGAAGGAATTACAATCCTTAGTGCCCCGGCAAGTCTAGCTGAGAACGTAACACTCACAGGGGGCAATATATCTGGCCCTAACATTCTTCCAGGACATCCTCCTGTGATCAATGTCTTGATAACCGAAAATGACCTCAATGATATTAAACGCCTCACGGGCTTAGCTATCGACAATACCACCACCTATATATCAATCCTTCAAAACTCAGGGTACGATCTGGCTCCCGATCCACGTGCCCTCCAACCAATACCGATTGATGATGCAAAGAATGTAGACAACTTTACCGAAGACTCCACATCACCAGAGTTTGTGAGTTTTACGATCGACCTCACTGCCGAGCAACTACTGCTAGTTTTCACCGAGACAGTTAACCAGCAGTCACTCAATGTGACTCAAATAGTTCTTCACAGCGACCCTGACCTTTCTCTATCGAGTGAAAACTACACCCTGCAAACAAGCCCTGTTCTCATCATGATCAATAACACGGACCTCTTGCTGCAGTTGGAGACAGAGGACCTCAATGCAATCAAGCTGCTCCCTGCACTGTGCACCAATTACTCAGACTGTTTTGTATCCCTCTCCAATGAGACTGTGGACGACATGAATAGTAATCCACTCATACCAGTCTCTGGTGAAACAGTCAGTGAATTTACTGCAGACTCTACACACCCGGCATTGAGGAACTTTCTACTGGACATGGATGAAGCTGAACTTCACTTGACATTTTCAGAACCAGTCAATTCCACATCTTTGAATGTCAGTGGAATTGTGTTACTGAATTCCTTTGAAGCAAATGACACAGATGATGCGTATCGACTTATGGGAGGAGTATCACCAGAATATACCTTCACTGACTCTATGAATGGAGTGGTACTAGTTTTGCAGCTGGGTACCGCAGACTTGTACAGAATTCAACAGAGACTACAATTGGCAACTTCTCTGGAAGACACCTACGTGGCTATTGACTATAGCTCTGTGCTCGATATGAACGATCTAGAAGTAGAGAATACGACTCTGCCATCTGAAGGAAATGCCTATACGTTTGACACTACTCCACCAATTATAACAGGGTTTGAACTCGATGTTGATCAGGGAACCTTTTCGCTTACCTTCGATGAAGTTGTAATAGCACTAAGCCTAACATTATCAAGAATTTCGTTTTTTCCTTCTGACAATTCATCCGTGGCATTGGCTCTTTCTGATTCGGATGTTCTGGACTATAATGCTCCAACACTGCATGTAAACTTGACCATCTTTGACTATCATGAAGTCCGGAGAAGCACTGATTTTGGTATATCTACTAACGACACTTACATTGAGCTTGAGTTTGAAGCCGTTGAGGATGTTGCTGGGATTCCCAACGATTATGTCTTGTTTCAAGCAACAAGTGTTATCAAAGACACCACGGGCCCAATTCTCGAGGCATTTGATGCAGACTTAAACAACGGACTGCTGGTTCTGATTTTTGATGAGCCTGTGAACACCAGCACAGTTGAGTATACAGCAATCACACTGCTAAACGACCAAGAAAATTACACTGAGTCCTACACACTCACTGACGGTGCGATCATGAGTGAGAACGGTATTTCAGTCACGATCAATATCACAACCATGGATCTGAGTAATATCAAACTACTCACCAACCTTCTTACCTCAAGGGACACATCGTTTATCAATGTCACAGAGACCTTGATCCTAGACATGGCTGGCAACTCCCTACAGTTACTCACACAGCCTCTCCGGGCAGGTCAGGTGTTAAATGACACGGACAGTCCCACTCTCATTCAGTTTGGTCTTGACATGAACAGCGGAATTGTGAGTCTTGAGTTTGACGAGCCGGTCAATGTCTCCACAGCAGATTTTTCCCAGGTTACCCTTCAGCGTCAACATCTAACTTCTACCGATAATGAATCTTTTACTCTTAATGGCGGAAAACTACTCAACCTGGAAAATGATGAAATACTACGGTTTGAAATTCTACAGGACGATTTGAATGAGTTGAAACGTCTTAGAATTGGACGCGATGACATGTTTTTGTACGTGAGCTTCACATCAGAGTTGGTAACTGACTTATCGGATAATCCAGCAGAACCAATTTTGTCCCCCAGGCCAGTCTCGGGGTCTCTCTATGTATCAGATGTGACTCAACCAATGCTTCTATACTTCGATTTGAACCTTACTGATCCAGCAGTTCTGTTTCTTGAATTCTCCGAGACGGTGGTTGTCTCTAGACTTGACGTGACACAGATATCACTGGAGGATGGAGAAGGACAGATGGAAAGTTACAATCTTACCAGAGAAAGTATTGCCCAAAGTAGTGAGGATGCAACGACTATTACTGTAGTTCTCAGCCGAAGTGATCTCAATGTTATTAAGCGCATTACATCCTTAGCGACCTCGACTGAAAATACCTATCTCACCTATACATCTGCCACCATAGTCGACACGTTCATGAATCCTCTTGAGAATGCAACATTGAAGCAAGTGAGAAACTTTACCGAAGACTCTTTTGCACCGGAACTTGAATTTTTTGACTTGGATTTGTCAAACAACACCCTCACTCTCAGCTTTTTCAGAAACAGTGAATGCTTCATCCTTTAACCCCACCGCCATTACACTGCAAAACAGCGAAACTATTGATGATGTCTATGTTACACTAACGGATGGATACGTTGGAGAAGACTACCACATTTTGTATGTTGCTTTGCAGACAGTAGACCTCAACAGAATCAAGCAGCTTGTAAACCTAGCCAGTGAGGAATATAACACCTACATTTCGATCACAAGTGATCTTGTTCTTGATATGAATAACAACCCTATCAATCCAATACCTAATGACACTGCCATAGATGTGACATTGTACACAAAGGATGAAGTTCCCCCAACACTCGACGGTTTTGATTTCAACCTAAACTTTTCAGACACTTCTGAACTAACACTCTACTTTAGCGAGACTGTGTCTGCACCAAGCCTCGATGTCACTCTGTTGTGGCTGCAAGATGATGCTAACTCTAGTAACACACACAATGTGAGAAATGGAGAGATACAGATGGAAAACTCTTCTGTAATTGTGATTACTTTGTCCAAGGAGGACGCAGATGCAATCAAGGAACTATTTGATCTTGGGACCAGCAGGAACGACACGTTCATAAGAATTGGAGCAGATGGAGTTTATGACATGGCTGGTATTCCTATTCAGGACACAGCCAATGCAATGGCTCTTCAGGTGGAGAACTATACAGCAGACCTACATTAGCCCTTCTCTACTAAACTTTACCCTGGATTTGAATGAAGGTGCATTGATTCTACTTTTCTCTGAAACAATAAACTCTGACTCAACCAACTTTACTGCCATCACTCTACAAAGTAGTGAAAATTCTACCTCAGAGAACACGACCAGTTTTACCCTCAATGGTGGTGCAGCATCAGATTCCAATTCAACGGAAATTGTGGTGTACTTCACAGATGATGATCTGAATGACATCAAGTCTCTGTTAGATATAGGAACATCGACTGAGGATACTTTCATTTCGTTTCCAGCCAATTTCATCGAAGACATGAATGGAAATCAGGTACAACCTGCAGTGGGTGACGGTGCTTACTCTGTCTATGCAGACGGAAGAGCACCCATTTTTGTAAGTTTCTCCATCAATCTTACATCAGACACCCTGACTCTGAGTTTCAGTGAGACAGTAAATGCATCGAGCTTCAACGCTTCTGCTGTTAGTCT